CTCCCCCACGGCCCCGGCTCCTCCCACGGGGGGAGGTGGCCGAGCCCGGCTCCTCCCGCCACCCCCCCGGGACCCCCCTTGTTCCCCCCGGCCCCACGGGGACATCCACGGGGGACATTGGCAGGGGACACCCTGGGGGCAGCGGGTGGCACAGATGGGCACTCCTGCATCCTCAGATGCCGAGGGGACATCCCTGGACAAGCCCTGGCAGAGCAGCCCCATCCATGTGTCCGCTCAACACCCCAGGATGGGCATCCGCAGACATTCCCTGGATAGGTACCTTAGACAGCATCCTTGGCCAAGGATGATGTGACAGCGACACAGGGCTGCCAGGTCCCCCCCATGTCCCCGCTTTGGCTCTCAGTGGCCATGAGGGTCCCAATTCCAGCATTGCCACCCACGATCCCATAGGGTTGCCCTGGGGGGGTCTGTGTTCACCCGTGCCATGCTTGGAGAAGGTTTCCTGGACATCTCTGCATGGCCAGAGCTCTGTGCATCGCTCTGAGAATTGGCACCATCACCGCACTGCTGATCACAGGCCAGGAGAGAAGAAAATAGCACAGATGCTTAATGCGCAGACCCTGAATTGAACCATTTCGGATAGAATTGATCCACTCGGGATAGCCAGATAGATCCTAAACCTGACTGTGCTCTGTGAAGTCTGCAGTGAGCAGAAAGGCTGCAAAGAGCCTGGGCTAAGTCCTGGATGACTCCAACAGAGCCACTTGGGTGCAGGGACAGCATTTTTTACCCATTTGTAATGAGCGTGAGGGGGGCATAATTAGTCTCTGGTAAGGCCAGAAGGGGCCCATCTGAGTCCTTTGCTAATCAGACAAGAGAACGGCTCCAGATCTCCTTCCTCCAGCCCAAAAACTCCTGTCCTGTAAAAAAAAAAAAAAAAAGAGGGGGAGGCACCGAGGCTGGGGAAGGGATTGGAATGGGTCCCCCCTCCACAGCACCAGGGACCCAGGGGTGGCAGAGGGACATGGTGGCACCCAGCAGTCCCTGCAAGGACTATTGCCCTTGCATTTAGCATCACTCCTTGGGAGACTCCCTGCATCCGCAGAGGACCCTTCACATTAATTTAGAGCGCTTGCAATCATGTCTTTGGCAGCCTGGGATTACAGGGAATACTAATTAATTCATTAGTGGATTCATGGCTTACTTCCCACCGCTAGGCTGGGCCGGGCACGGGGGAACAGATTGCAGCCAATAAATCTGCCTGTTGCTGCTCTGCCCCGCTCCATATCGAGCCCGTCCCTTGCGTGACAGATGGCTGAGCTCTTGCTCGTCCCTCCCCATGCCCGGCAGGCAGAGCGGAGCCCAGCTGGACCCGCAGCCCCATGCAATATAAATGATAATGCCCGGTGTGCTCGGCTCAGCTGGTGTCCCCTCCAGCCCTAAAACGGGTCAGGCTTCCCTCGCCCCGCGGGACATTCCCGGCGCTCCGCGGAGCGCCGGGAATGTCCCGCGGGGCGAGGGAAGCCTGACCCGTTTTAGGGCTGGAGGGGACACCAGCTGAGCCGAGCACACCGGGCATTATCATTTATATTGCATGGGGCTGCGGGTCCAGCTGGGCTCCGCTCTGCCTGCCGGGCATGGGGA